GATGTTTTCAAAGCTTTTTTTTTTTTTTCCTGACTTAGAAATATATATGTTTGTATGCATACTTAAGTTTTATGAGCTGTAGTAGATTTGCAGCTGTGAACTCTTAGCTACAATTATTTCATTATCTCCAGTTTCAAGGAGATGTGCTGATTGAGTTTCCCACCTGTTGAAAATTCTTACTGAAGATTAAAATTTCACTTCAACTTTCTAAAATTATAGCGCAAACAAATTACAAATTTCTTCAAAAATAGTATGCTGTTTGGTATGCTGCCTCCTTGAACTGGCAATTCAAAGGTAGAAAAAGGAAAACCATTCAACCAATAGCACATAGGGTTCTTAAGCAATTATTTGCAATCACCCAAAAGCAAAAGAAAAACTAGTATAGAGCTCCCCATTTAGTTCTTTAAGCAAGAAGAGAACTTGAAACAAGTCTGTTGTAGGGCATGAAAAGTGAAAGCAACATAGCAGAAAAGGGAATAGAATAAGTAATAATAACTGCAAATTGTTGCCTCTCTGCCCCGCTCCAATGATAGCTTTGTTTCAGTCTACAAACTTGATCAGGGCTATGCTTCAAAACATTTCATAATATGTAGTGTGTTTTAAATGTCAGTGGGTATATGCAATCTGAAGAAGGAAGGGACTTACTTTAAAGAAAACTGTTCTGTCAGACAAACACACTTCTTTGCAGCTCAGAGTCCAACATCATATTCCTTATCCTGTAAACCTAATATTGTACCTCTGGGTACGGGGGGACAGGCACAGGACAGCCCTACTGATGCTCCTAACTTAGGTGTGCAGTCCTTCAGGCTCTCTGTAGATTTACTGGAGAGACAGAAAGGGAGAGGGATAGAGAGAGGAGACGGAGACCTTGCTCTCCAGTCTAAATGTGATCAAAACTGTCTTTTACAAATGCCTTTCTCTGTCCCTTTGCTGCAGAGGGACGTTACAGCAGATGTAAAAAGGGATGTATAAATCCCCTCTTTAGTGGCTAAATTATTATGCTACTCAGAATTTTTCTACTCATGGACCAGAAATGCATTATATGGAATGGGGAAAACATTTACTAGAGAGAGTAGCATCCTTGTGGCAGCACAGACTGCAAGTATAGGGTAAGTGGATATAGACAGTAGGGCGTAAGCATGATGGATGGTGGTACTAGCACAGCAGCTGCTCAGCCATCACTAAGATTTCCAAGCATCACTGAAAAGGAGACTTTTAAAGAAAAAATGAGATGAATTTTCAATATTTACAGAAGTCTTCTCTTGTGTAAAGGGAGGTCCCAGCTTAAAGCTGCTCTACCAAAAGAGCTGACAAGATGTAAGTGTACGTCTGCATGCGGGAAGAGAACCAAGCTAAGAACAATGACTAGATTAAATGCTTTGGCAATTTCATTTTTCATGGCTGGACAGCCATCGGGAATTTTCAGAGAAGTGAAGAATTAAAAAAAATTTTTTGACAGGATACAGCAGCAGAAAGGAAACCTAAACTGGAAGAAATGTCCATTAAAAAAAAAAAAAATTCCTGCGACTCTGAGTGGTTTTAGGTTGTTGAAATCAGCTGGAGAGATGAGGGGCTCATAGGCATTAGTAGAACTATTGATGGCACATAGCATTATATCTGGAGATAGCGTTTACCAGACCAGGGTATTAATTGTTTTTTTAAATAGGACTTGAATTAAGAAGTCCTCAAGTGATATTATCTAGAAAACACAGAATTCTGTATCAGTGCAAGTAAGTAAAATAACCTGCTTTCAGCTATTCACACTTAAGATGCTAAAGTATCAGTTTAAAATCTTTACTTGTAATATAGTCAAATAACTTGGCCATTTTTGTATTATTGACGTCGAAAAGAAACTGAGAGGTTCTCCCTAAATTGTAGCTGTTAAATTATAAATGAAAGAAAAAAACTATAGCTTGATATACTTATTGAACAATAGCGAACATTATTTTTGCTGTGTAGGGATTTAACTCTTTGATATTTATATTTTTAAAGAAAATTCAGATAATTCACATACCGCCTGGCAAATTGCGGTAGGAGTGGCGATTGCACTGGCTGTGATAGGAGTCTCTGGCTATTTCTTTTTTAAGGTATGTACAGTCATTTGGGGTTTTATTTTCGAGCGTACTATTAAGAGGAAATTCAGATCTCGACTGTTTCACCAAAACATAAATTTGATTTCTATAAGTTAAAAGCGTGCAAATAAAAACTGAAAATGTAAAATGAAACATAGCTAAGCATAAGGAAATTGTCCTCACTTTTGCTGTTTTCTTTGGCCAGAAGCCCTCCTTGTTACATCTACACAATAGTATTTTAGTTTTAACAATGTAAGCATGCCCTTCACTTGACCAGATGTTCTCCTATGCTGTATAAAAAGATCAACAAGTTGGTTACCCTTCACAAATATCTTTTGATAAGTTGCCTTAAAAATAAGCAAACATTGTTTAATTTTCTCTCGTTCTTGCTTAAGAAAAAAACAAAACACAAAGACCCTCAAAGAGGGCACAGACCTAGTCTTCAGTAGGGCCAAAAACTATATCCAGTTCTCATGCTGCAATAGAGACAACTACTTGCATGACTCTGTAATATCTTTGCCTCAATTTTTTTCATTCCTCAGCCTGACTCCTGAGCTGGTCAAAGTTCAAGGTATTTTGGAGTTATTTACTTACGCCTTATGCCCTCGCATTCATCCGCGCCACCTCATCCATCTTACTTTCCCACTAAACATTTGTGGGAACAGAGCTCAACCTATAGGCTTCTAAGTTATTCCATGATGGATTTCATGCTCATGTATTGGTGACAGGCTGTATCTGTTTTGTAGAATGTGTATGTCCTTCCTTTGCCTTTATAGCAAGTATCCTTTAAAACCAAACCAAACCAAAACGAACAGCTTTTGCTCTTATTTTTTAGGGTAAAACTTTCTGTGGTTGACAGCATGGCCCTAACCACAGAGAGAGCTACCTTTGCACTCCTCTGGGCCTTAAGATTTTGACAGCCCAAATTTGGAAAGCTTCAGGAGACATTTTGCAATGGTTGCCATGAGATGATAAATGTACTTGAGTAAACAAACTAAAATGGTTGAGTCTCAGTCTTTTCTCATTTTGCCCCCATGTTCTTGCATGTTTCTTAGTAGTCAGTTGTAACTCTAGCCAACTGCAGCTGTTCCAGTTCATTGAAAAAACTTGGATACCGAAGCTTGAAAGAATTTAGACAAGATTCCCTTAACTTGGGACTTTTTGACACGTTTAACATACCATAATCAGAGGAAGCAGAACAGCCTACAAGTTGACATGGTTTGTTGTATTGATAGAGGCATGGATGGAAGGAGGAGGAATGTTTCTGAACTCTTACATGGATGTGACTTTTACTCAGCTAATGTTGAAATGGAAAATACTCTTACCTCTCTAATGAGCATGCCTTGTCCCGTTCCTACCAGATGATTACTTTCACATATCACTTTTACAAACATTTTGGCTTTGACTAGGCTTGCAAGAAAAAAGGAGGAAGGAACTGAGCACCTGGACGTACCAAAAGGAAGAACTCTCTCTGCAAACACAGACGCTCCTGAGATTGCTGCTAAAAGAGAAGCTTGAAGAACAAAGACTTCCTTGACCTGCTGGGTGGAGTTACAGAGGGCTGGAAGCAAATGGAAGTGTAATTATCTGAGCAACAGTAACAAGCAGAGAACCTAACAGAAAGAATGTGCAAGTCAGCTGACACTTCTGTGTGATGAGTCTGCATGAAAAAGTGGGACTTGCATGTTTTTAAAAAGAAAATAAAGTTTCACAGATGAAAAAGATTCAGTTTTGAGGTTTTTTTTTTTTGCGGTATAAAGGGAAGAGAAGACTTACTGTTTTGCATGCCATTTAGTATTTTAGTTCTAAACAAAGACAGCTTTCCCCTCTGAATTCAGTTTAAAAGTGGAAAAGATCTAAGAATACCAGTTTCTGAGCCACTGGGCAGAGCTGATGGGACCAGATGCTCCACCTCATCTCCTAAGCAACTCCTGCATGTGAACTTTGGCTGGTAGTAGTGGAATCTTCTAAACTGACTGTTCATACAGCATTTTGAGAGTCAAAGAGGAAGAGTTTAAATAGTTTTTGCTGTCCTACAAAACTGGTGCAGACGCTGAGCGGCTGGACAAATGTAAGCAGCAAGTGGTTATGGATTTTAAAGGCTCTCCCCTGCACAAGTTTAGTCTATGCTGCTTTAACCGTCTGCACGTGAAGGACAGAAGGCTGTGAAGCATGGCTGGATTTACCCTTGGTTTTGATTTGGTCCAAGAGTTGCCAATTAAGATTTGTTCCAATACAATGAAATGGGCAGGCGGCAGAATGTAATCCCTTATTGATCTCTGGGGCTAAGGCTAGGCAAAATAGAAAAACAAAGAAACAAATGGAATACACTATACAGTCTCTTTGGATTTTTCACTAGATATTTATTTCTGTAAGTAAGGGCCTATTTTTTTCCTACTTCCTCTTTCAGTTGTGCAGCTGATTATATGAAGCATCTTCTCATATGTGTCAACTTGGACTGCATTTATTCCTCTTCATGAACCTGAAATGCAGTTGAGAGAGATAGTATACATCCGTTAAAAAGCGAAGCGTTGAGAGGTTTTTTTAGCATAAGTTTTCAAGTAAGTGATAAAAGCTTCTGCTCCTATGGCATTACCAAGTTATATCTGAAGTAGACTGGCACTAAACTAGCACATTATATGGAAGCTAGCTAGCCTTCCCTGCCTTACTTCAGCTAAGGATATGGGTCTCTTGTCCCAGTGCTAGGGTATGAATATCTCTTCGATTGCAGATGACTTTTATACAGCACTGTTACAGCGTACAGTACTGTTCTCTTTGGACACCACACGCTTGCCAGAGTTTCCAGGGATATGGGTACTAGTAGCGGTACACAAGCTATTTCCAAGTGCTACACTATTAAAAGTAATACTAGATTTTCTCCAATGCCTTTCTGTCCCCAAAGGAGATGAGTCATGGCTCCTGAGATAGCATTCACTGCCTGAATGGGAGGATGTTTCCTGGTAGCTGCTGCCATTACTGCTGCAATTCCCTTTCTGTGGAGTGGCACCTCTGCACGAACCGCTGACCTCACCTTCTGACAAGGCAGTGCTCTGCTACAAGCCAGAACTGAGAGTCTGGCAACACCAAATCTCTCTGACAAATAAAAATAGCTATCCACTTCTCTGACTTCTGCGTATTTGAGGAAGAAACGGGGTACTAGTAAGAGATAGGTAGCAAACTACATTCTTAACTAACATAACAAATTAACTAATCCCACAGTTTTACCTCTTTCAGTATCTGTGTGATGGCATGGCTTTGTGAAATAACATGAGTTTTTCATTTGTTTTACTGGGCTGCAATAATTTGAAGAAAAAAATAAGTGCGAAATGTTTACTTTTAAAAGTCGCAAAACATCATGTGAACTTCAGTTGCAGTACTGCTTCCATCATACATAAATGTATGAAAGAACAGTTCTTCAACTAGTTTTATGTCGATCTGCTCTGGTCAGTGGAGCTAGTCATATGTATCAAATTAAAGGTGACTCTTTTAGTGCAATATAAAAGCAGAAATTGGAGGTATTGTTCTTCCCATAGAATGGTGGATAAAGCAGAGAGGAGGTGATGCAATCACAGATCCACTGTGATAAAAATAGCAAAATTATATAGAAAGGGTTCTTTTCTCTGACTTGACTCAGGACCTGTCACGCCTGTAAAACTTCTAAGACATTAAGCATAGGAGTTTATGTCACACCTACAAATGAAATAGGTAAAGCAAGAATCCAGCTTCTACAAGTAATGGCTCCCACGCTTACTTGTCCCAGTTTCCATCAGGCAAGCAAGCATAGGTCAGCAAAGGCTTGCTTTCAGTTCCAAACCAAGTTCTTGGGCACCTTTCATTTTCTTTGATATTACTTTTACTTCCCTTTTGCCTAAGCGCAAAACACCACAGATATATTTCTAATTATTGATTTCTTAGCACCCAAGTGACTAACCACTGATATTTTCTTTCCATCTGGCCCTTAAAATCAACACTTCCTCACTGAAAGAGCAAAGTTAAAATATATGGCAATCTGCTAGTGCAGTTATCCCCAGGCTGTATTATGTATATAGGAATTTACATCATCAGAGGGAGAAAGAGATGGAGGTTTTTGATATCCCTTGTTAAAAAAAAAATCAGTTCTGGGGTATGACTGTTGAGCAGCAAAGATTGAATGACAATATTGAGGGGATGGACCTTTCACTTCTCATAAGCTTCAGATCGCTTTCCTAAAGCATTACCTTAATATAAAAATAAAGTGTAGACTGAAACAAAAATATAGTAAAGAACAATTTTTTTCCACTCTGTACTATTTTAGGAGATGCAACAGATCCTCATGCATACTTTGTATGCACTGTGTATTAAACAGTCACATTTACGCCATATGTTATAACCATACCTTTTTCATGCCTATATCTCTTGACTTGCTCCTCAGCTTATTAACTTGCGATTCAGCTATTTCAGCCCTTTCTTCAGCATCATCCAGATCATGTTGCTGTTTTTTGTACTTGGAAAGGTACAGATTGGCTTGTGCTTCCTGGTGAGAGAAAACAGTGAGGCTGATTTCCTCCTGTCCATGCAGAACAAAGCCCTCATTTGCAACCAGAAAGTGCTCAACGTGACTCAGTAACAGCTGGATGGGAACCACTCGCCTCTTGGAAGACTGAGTTTGTCACTTTACAGGTTCGATGTTTCCAGTGGCACTCTCAATTTTAAGTAAATTGGGAGGCGCTCCACCTGCCTCGTAAGGGACTACTAGTAGGAGGAATAAGTTGTGGCCCCCTCCTCCCCCGCTGGCAGATTACACTGCAATCTTAAGATAAAATTGAACACCTTTTCTTAAATATAATCACCATATATACTATATATTTTATATATTATAAATATGTGTATAAAAACGTAGTTTATACAAGTATAAACACATACACAAAATGTGTATTTGTACAAAAAGCTTCTACTGCTAGAGACTGTGGCCATAAGACAAGGAATTTCTCAAAGAAAGAAAGCCCAGATAGTTACTCACAGCTTCTTCTGCTTGGTGCTTGTAGCTCTTCACTTTTAACTGTAGCTTGTCAATCAGATCCTGCATCCTGGCCAGATTCTTCTTATCTTCTTCTGACTGTACCAAAATACCACTGAATGAGTTAATAGAGTACAAAGGTCTAAAGCATCTCCCACAGTCAAGTAGTTACAGGTAGCATACATATTTTGGAGGCTGAGGGCTAAAAGAGAAAGCAGCCTCCTCATTTGTACATATGTAAAGCTGTATACACACACTCACACATACAAATGTATGTACATAGATACACATATACAGATACATAGCAGCAGATACATAGATACACAGAGAGTTTGTGTGTAGGGGTGAGGAGCACTCTTGTCATTACAGAGAGTGTCATTATTGAGTGAAACAGACTGATGGGCAAGCCTAAAATGCTTTTAACTTACTTTTTAAAATTTGGAGGCATTTTTGTTAAAAGGAGACAGGTTTAGGCTCTCACAGTCCCTAAAAGCAAGGACGAGCTAATTCTATCTACTTGTGCATGAGCACTGTATTCTGAGAAAACAACCTTTAGCCTTTATGTGCAAAAGTCAGAGTAAAATAATAGGTAGGAAACTTTAAAAAAAAACCAAAAAACAAAAAGCCAAAACTCCCGAAGCAGACAGATGGGATTATCTTCCTAAGAATGTTGTTGAAAGTGAGAGGATCAGTGTTCTGCACTGAAGACTTTTTCGGAAGATGAGCAGTAACAGTAGCTGCTAGCACACCTGCTAGAGGCTTAGAGCAGGCCTTGCTGCCCAGCACCAGGTGGCTGAGCCCTGGGACTTGACAGTGCTACACTACATGATGCACTAGAGGTAAAAAACAAGGAGCCAGACCAAGAAACCAGAAAGGACATTTGTAAACAGTTTGGGGGAGGAATTTACCTTGATGACCTCCCTGTTGCGTTTTTATTTCCTCCCTTTGCTGAAGTCATGTTTGTTAAGCCAACTGATTCAGGTTTGTGAGTGGAGGAATTACTGGAAATCACACCGTTTTCCTCAGGTCTGAGCATCCCTGTTTTACAGGGATCCCTGTTTTTCAGGGATGCTCGCGCTGATACTTAGTAGTGATCTCTAAAATTTGCACCCAGCTATTGCTGCTCATAGGCAGTTGCCATCCCCGCAGAAGGGCCATGCACGCAGGCTGATCGTAACCATTAAAACTGGCACACCAGCACTCAAGTGCACATAGGAATGTCGACTATCGGAACCACGGACAAAAGTTAGCTGAATCCTTTTGACTCCTTTTAGTAACATCAGCACAGCTGAGAGACAGCGTCTCACGCAGCGCGAATCGTCATCTAAGGCTACTGCACCTTAGCACTGAAACTGCCCAAACCCCAGCAGTAACAGGCCTTCTAGCGTTTGTAGCAATTGGCCAGGCAGAAAGGTGGTTGTCCTAGAGAGATGTTTCTTCCGTCCCTAAAAATCGGCACAATGAGAAAGCTCTAGATAACGTGGTCTTTTAGTGAAACACAGATGCAGCTGCAGACTAGGAGAATGTGTTTCTTTCCAGGGTCCTAGTGGTTAGTGCAGTCCTTGCAATACCTGGTAAGTCAGCTCTTTTATGCGCCTGTCAAACTTGCGGGCTCCTTTTTGGGCTTCTGAATTACGACGGAGTTCATTCTCAAGGTCATTCTCCAGCTCACGAACCTGTAAAAGGAAAAAACCCTTTCCATTA